CCTCGTGGGCCGTCTTGGAGCGGTCTTGGGGGCCTCTTGGGCCGTCTTGGAGCGTCCGGAAGCCGAAAAAGCCAGAACGCAAAAAACATAGAAAAAAAACAATGAAAATCAACGATTTTGGCCTCTTGGGGCCCTCTTCGGAGGCCTCTTGGAAGGCCTCTGGGGCGTCTTGGAGGCCTCTTGGGCTGTCTTGGGGCCCTGTTGGGCCGTCTTGGGGTCATCTTCGGCGTCTTCGAGCGCTCTTTGGGCGTCTCGGGGGCCTCTTGGGCAGTCTTGGGGGCCTCTTGGGGCACTCTGAGCGCGCTCTGGGGAGCCTGAGAGGCCGCACCCAGAAGGAAAACCATCTCTGAGTCGACTTGGTCGGGCGGCGGTCGGGCGGCGACCGGGCGTTGGTCGGGGTACTTTTCGCCGGGGGACCCCCAGGGGCCGCCCCGCGCGCGCGAACTAGAAATACTGTTAATACTGTTAACCAGTTGCCGGAGATCTTAGCACGCCCTGGCCCGTTGGGCCGGCGAATTCCTACCACACACACCATACCATACCATAGTTCCTACCACACATACCATACCATACCATACCATACCATACCACACCATACGTACCATACCGTACCATACCATACCATGGCGTGCCCCTCCCACCCCTCCAGGGAGGCCCCGCCTGAGCGAGGAGGGTATCGGAAAACCATACTATTTACATGGTTTCGTGCCCCTCCCACCCCTCCAGGGAGGCCCCGCCTGAGCGAGGAGTGTTTCGGAAAACCATACTATTTACATGGTTTCGTGCCCCTCCCACCCCTCCAGGGAGGCCCCGCCTGAGCGAGGAGGGTATCGGAAAACCATACTATTTACATGGTTTCGTGCCCCTCCCACCCCTCCAGGGAGGCCCTAGCTCTGAGCGAGGAGGGTTATGGAAAACCATAACTATTTACAATGGTTTCGTGCCCTACCCACCCTCCAAGGTAGGCCCCGGCCTGAGCCGAGGAGGGAATCGGGAACACCTTACTATTTACATGGTTTCGTGCCCCTCCCACCCCGCCTGGGGGAGGGGCCCAGCTGAGGGGGGAGGGTATCCGCAAAACCATACTTTTGACATGGTTTCTGATTTCTGCCCTCCACCATCCAGGAGGCCAGCTTTCTCTGAGCGAGGAGGGTATCCGCAACCATACTATTTACATGGTTTCGTGCCCCTCCCACCCCTCCAGGGAGGCCCCGCCTGAGCGAGGAGGGAGTCGGAACACCATACTATTTTCATGGTTTCGTGCCCCTCCCACCCCTCCAGGGAGGCCCCGCCTGAGCGAGGAGGGTATCCGAAAACCATACTATTTACGTGGTTTCGTGCCCCTCCCACCCCTCCAGGGAGGCCCAGCCTGAGCGAGGAGGGTATCGGACAACCATACTATTTACATGGTTTCGTGCCCCTCCCACCCCTCCAGGGAGGCCCCGCCTGAGCGAGGAGGGTATCCGAAAACCATACTATTTACATGGTTTTGTGCCCCTCCCACCCCTCCAGGGAGGCCCCGCCTGAGCGAGGAGGGTATCGGAAAACCATACTATTTACATGGTTTCGTGCCCCTCCCACCCCTCCAGCGTCGCGAGGAGGGCATCAAGAAAATGTGTCCCACGAAACCGTTAATCTCTTTATGTGGGGAACTCCGTTAGAAGAATATATATATATATATATATTCTTCTTCTTCTTCAGTTTTCGGCCCCCGAGGACTCGCTGGGTCCGAGGACCGTCCGCGAACAGCCGTTCTCGGGTTTCGGGAAACGGGTCCAGGGTTTCTGGCGTCCAGGCCTCCCAGGTGGGGTCGGAGTACATTCGGGCTGCTGAGACAAGGAATGATTTGGGTTCGGAAGGGGCTCGATGCTCCCGAGGTTCCTCCACTGCTGTTCCTCCTGTCCTCGTCGGGCACGGACGCGCCTTTGGGGCCAAAGCATGCGGTGTCGTCCCTTATACGTATCGTTCCTCAGTTCAGCGGCCCGACTGCAGATGGGGTCGGAGGATCGCGCCGCACTGCCGATGCATCGGTAGTGCGGTTCGGTGTGGAGCCCGACGTTCTCCACGCGGACGTCGCCCGTGCATCGCCGGCGTCGCCCATACATCGTCGATACATCGGCGGTGCATCGGCGATGCGGCGGGACCTTCCGGCTCCATCTACGCTGACCACATCTGGGAGGCCTCTAAGGGCCAATTTGGAGTCTTCGCGTTCGAGTCGATTGGATATCGATGTTTTTTTCGGCCTTTTCCGCCGCTTTCGGCCTTTTCGGCGCCCTCCACGAGCCCTGGGGCTGTCAGAAAACGTTTCAGGAGGAAAAACTCGTCCTGGGGGAAGGCCCCAGGGTCCAGGACCTGTTTCACTCAGGATCCGCTTCCCCCATGCTAATTTCCTCCGATTCGATTCGATTCGATATCGATGGCTCCTAATTCCGATTCGATCCGATCTTGGATTCCGCTTTGGGCTCTGATTTCCAATTGCAGGCCTATTTAGTAGCCTGCCGACTTCGGCCGATGCGACTTCTCCCGACTCGGCTTCCAATTCCCGCCGATCCGATTGATTTCTATCGCCCCCATCCCGTCCCGTCCGAAGGCCCCCTCCTTCCCGTCCAAATGGCCACCCCTTCCAGTCCAAAGACCCCCACTGCCAGTTCAAAGGCGCCTCCTTCCAGTCCGCAGAGCCCCCTTCCAGTTCAAATGCTCTCCCCCCTTCCCCTTCACTGGCATGCCGCCAACGGGCTCAGGATCAGGCTCCTGGAAGAACAGAAGACGCTTGAGATCTGGGCGTCGAAATTGTTCACGGCGGGCGATGTCGCCAGGTGTCGGGCCCCAGGACCATCACATATCGATCAGGGTCGAAAAATAAGCCAGGCAGATGGCGTATTCGACTCTGGCCAAGATTCTTGCGACGCTGTATTTTTTCTGCAGCGCCGTATCTCATGGAACGGCATACGCATAATCTCCTGGGGGGTATCGCGGATTTCTGGGATCGGCGTGGAGGGAATCCGCGCGGACGGACCGCTGAGAAATCCCCCGCGCGGACGGAACGACCGGAGTTTTGGGCCGCGCCGCGCCAGCCTACTCAGGCCCTCCGAAGGCAGCAGAAGGAGACGTCGCATAGGAAGCTCGGGAGACGGAGAAGTAGACGAAGACGACAGAAAGAAGCCAAAGAAGGAGACGCAGAAGTAGAGCAGTCAAGGAACCGGAGAGGGGAGTAGACGAGAATGGAGAAAGAAGACGCACGCGAGCCGATAAAGAAGACGACATGGGCGAGTGCCGACGACGACGGCAACAGAAAACAGAAGAAGAAGAGGACCCGGGGGGAGCGAAGGAAAACGACGCCCCACAAGAAGAAGACCGCAACAAACAAAACACGAAGAACAAAGAAGAAAACAGCAGACATCGCAGAATAAGGCCGGCCGCCGGAAGGACAAGCAGCACGCGCAAGAAAGGAAGCCCGCCAGCCACAGAACGAAAGCCTGAGCTGGCTAGGCCGCGGCCTCCGCACGCCGCAACGACCAGCACCACGACCGACGCCCAAGCCCCACCTTCCACGCCCGCCGCAGCATCCGCCGCCTCCTTCCGCCGCCTCAGCCTCCTCCTCCTACGCGCCTGCCTCCTCTTCCGCCTCCTCTCATCCTCCCTCCCTCCTCCTCCTCCTCCTCCTGCCGGCCGCCTCCTCCTTTGATTTTCTCTACTCCTCCTCCTCTCTCCTTCTCCTCCTCCCTCCTCCCTCCGCATTCCTCCCTCCTTACCTCCTCCTCCGCCTCCCCCTCCTCCTCCTCCTCCTTCCTCCTCCTCCTTCCTCCCTCTCCCTCCTCCTCTCCCCTTTCTCCCTCCTCCCCCTCGTCCTCCTCCACCTACCTCCTCCTTCTTCCTCCTCCTCCTTCTTTCCGTCTCCTCCTTCCTCCTCTCCTCCTCCTCCTCCTCCTCCTCCTCCTCCTCCTCCTCCTTCCCTTCTCCTCGTCCTTCTCCTCGTCCTCCTCCTTCTCCTCCTCCTCGCGGACGGGCCGTTTACGCCATTCCTGGCCCCCCAGGAGCAGGAGCAGGCTCGGCCACACGGCAGAGCGGGCCCCATCCGCAGAGCGGCCTCTGGTGCGCCGCGGCCCCAGACCGCCCTCGCGGCGGGGCAGGCATCACGGCGGACGTCGGTATGCTACTTTCGACCTCGGGGGGGCCTCGCGGGGCTCCAGGACCGTGACAAAACTCGAAGAAGAAACAACGCCATAACCATAAGCTTTTTGCGCTCCGCCGATTTCGTGGATCCGCGCCTGCGCCAGGGAGGGGGGTCCGGCGCAGATCCAAGAAATCCGCGCGGAGCGCCAACAGTTTATGTTTACGGCGTTTTTCTTTCCGAAGACGACACGCGACGAAAAACCGGTCCTGGGGAACGGGTGGAGACCTCCGCTTCTCGGGGCGTCGGTGGCCGCCCCGGGCCCTGGGGCCGTCCTCCAGCGCCTCTGGAGAGAGAGAGAGAGTCGGTCCTGGGGGAATGCTTCCTCCTCCTCCTCCTCCCCCTCGTCCTCCTCCTCCTCCTCCTCCTCCTCCTCCTCCTCTTCCTCGGGACCCAGGACCCGGTTCCTCCAGGGGACCCGTCTTCTTCACGGTGAGGCGCCAGGGGGCCCACGGCCAGGCATGCAGGCCGCTGCCGTCCCACCGCGCACGCAGCGGCCGGCGCGCCGCACACCAGAGGTCGCTCCTGCCTGGGGGCCGCTGCTGGCGTGCCGCCCGAGGCGGCCGTGTGGCTGCGGCTGGTGGCGCCGTCCGTCGTCGGGGCGCCGAGCGGCGCGCTGCTCGCGGCCGCGGCCCGAAAAGGCGCTCGTCGGCCTGGCGACGGCGGCCAGGGCGTGGTGGCGACGCCGTGGAGCACCTCGGTTTCGAGGAGCTCTCGGCCTGCTCGGGCATCGGGGGCCCGTCTCGTGGCCACGACGGGGCGCAGCTCGGGAAAAACCGGCCAGGGTGGGTCCGTGGTGGAAGAGATGCCCGTTTTTTTTTGGTCATGGGCTGTGGTCGGGGGATCAGGTCCAGGGGTGATTTGATTTTTCAACTTCGGCGTTTTTCCGAATTCTCGGCGTCGGGGGGACGTTTTCGGATCCTACTTTTTCGGATGTGTGGAATCCCTCTGCACTCCCCCTGAAGCGCCTCTTCCTGTTTCCCTTCCTCGTCGCCCCCTTCCCCATCTACTTCTCCTTCCCCCGCCCCCCTGCCTCTCCCCAGTCCCCCTTATTCTTACTTCCTGTGATTAAACATCCCCACATCCCCACCTAGCCGGCCGATAGCAACCCCGCCGTCGTAATTGTCAAAAACAGCACAAACTCATTCTCTGCCCCGCCAACATGTCGTCGAGTTGCGAAGCATGTATCAGGAATGGGACGGAATGAGCATCGCTCGGGTAAGCGGAAGCGGGTGGTCGCGTCCCACCCATCAAACAGCAATGTAAAGTCACAATTTTTTTCGTCAGCATGGATTTTCTCGTCGTCGACGCTGCGATTTTTTTTAGCAGGAGTGGGACGCGGCGCGCATCGCGCGCGGACGCCTGGCCAAACCTACGCGGGACCCCCCGTGTTGCTTGTCATAAGGCACAGCAGTGTCGACGTTTTTCTTGCCAACGTGTACTTTCTCCTCGTCGGCGCTGCGAATCGCGTAGCGGGAATGGGACGCCCCGCGAATTCCCAAGAGGCATTCTCCTCTTCCTCCTCAGTTTCTCCCTCCCTCCCTCTCTCCCTCCCCTCCTCCTCCTCCTCCGCCTCCTCCCCTCCTCCATGCGCGGCAGGAGCGAAACGATTGGCGGTGCAACGCGCGTTGTTGGAATGAGACGCGGCGCGTTTCGCGCGCTGGACATGTGGTCGCCGACGATGCAACATGACAGGCCACAGCGGGGCGCGGCGTACATCGCTCGCGGTCTTGTTTCTCGTCGACGTTGCTGAATACCCGGCAGGAAGAGGACGCAGTTCATGTCGCGCGCGGAACGTCTCGCCGCCCACGAAATAAGATGAACGACGAGCGTCGGACGCGAGGCACTTGCTTTTTATGTTGTGGAAGGGTGGGTGTCAGTGGACGGAGCCCTCTGGTTCGTTCGAGCTGGTTCACTTGTCTCAGCTGACTCATCCTCCTCTCCCTCTTCCTTCTTGCCCTCCAGCGTGCTCTCCACCTCAGGCCAGCGCGCGCACAAAAACACACGCGCACACTTTTTTCGTCGCGCTGCGGCAGAGGCAGTCCGCACGCGCACTCGGGCAAGTTGGGAGACAGCGTCGATGATTGTCCGCGGCAAGAGCGGGAAACAGTGGGAACGGGGTCGCGCGCACACGCAGTCATAAGATAGTATTGCTGGCCGCTGGCGACGATGTCAACATAGGATGGATCCACAAGCAATATGCCAAATGACCCGAAAAAAAACACTCCTGCTTCGCTAAACCATGTTCGATTCATGATGGCGATGGTGACTTCGCACTGGGAGAAAGGGCGGCGAGCGAGGGGGGAAAGTGAGATGGAAAAGTCCCTCTCAGAAGGCGGCGTGACTTCTCAGATGCCGTAGCGCCTTCGGAAAGTATTTTGTCCCTTCGGGGAAGGCGTAGATAACTCCTCAAAAGGCCGGGGGACTTCCGGGCCTTCTGACAAGGCCCGCCCCTTATCACTGCCCCCTGGGCTTTACGCCGAGAAAGGGCCAGAAGATCTGATCCCCAGCCTCTTCCTCGTTGGCTGCATCCCCGAGCGAAAAAGGGCGGCCCCCGGTGGTCTGTCGCAGTGCGCAGTGGCCGACGTGTTTGCTCTCACGGAGAAGGTCTGGCACGAGGTGGACGATGATATCACCGACGTAAATGATGAAGAGGTTGACGGTGACGATGATGAGTCGAGTGATATGACGATATCTCTCTCTCTCTCTATATATATATATACGTGCTCTTCACGCGCAAAGACGACTTTCCCCGCAGGGTACGAGTGTCATTGCGCTACTTGGTCTTGAACAAGTCGGCCATCACACAGTCCGCTTTATCTCAATCGTCATCGTCACTGTCCGCGCCATTTTGTACATGCACGACATTGGCTAGATTCGGCTGGATTGAGAGAGCGTGTTTGAATGCCCGCCATGCTAGAATCATCTCGAGGTAGCGTCGACCGCATTCATAGTGAAGTGGACCGAACCTCGCTCCAAGGAGGAGGAGGAAGAGAGGCATGAGGAGGAGGAGTAGGAGAAGGAAGAGGTCAGGTTCAATCGAGGTCAACCTGGGCAGCGTAGGCCAATGGTCGGAGGTTCATAGGACCATGGGGAGATATTGTAGCACATGGTACCGCCTATCCGTGCCGCCCTGCTCTTTTGACGTCCGCGCTCATCACACTGATAAGACGGACCGCCTGTACTTGCGCCTCGTCCACGTGTTGGGCGTCGGCAGCAGTGCCCCTGGCCCAAGGTGCCCCCCAGGGCTTCCGAGGAGGCCCCCTCGGCCTCGCAGAGCACTCCTCGCGAGGCCCAGGGGGCCCCAGGGGGCTCCGCAACAAGTGGCGCGCAGAGCCAGGGGCCGGCCTCGGCAGCCCACGAGCTTCGCGCCCTCTCAGGAGGGAAGAAAACACAGACACAATTAATCGTCGACTCCCACGAAAATAGGGCGGGAAGACAAAAAACCAGAAAATATGGAAAAATATGGGGAATCATTTTATTTGTGTGTATTTATTTGTGTGTCCCAGGGCCCCTTGACCCTCGCCGCACTCCTCCGGTCGAGGGCGCTCGCCTCCGACGCCCTGCCGCGATAGGGGGCCCGGCCGCCCGCCGAGCCCGGCGCACGCACGCTGGAAGCGGCGCCAGCAATCTCAGCTCCACGCAAGCTCGTCGAGGGGGGTGGTGCGCAGAGAGGGGTCCCCGACTTTGGGCTCGGCGCCGGACACCGCTGGAAGCAGCGCCGGCGATCTCAGCTCCACGCAAGCTCGTCGGGGGGGGGTGGTGCGCAGAGAGGGGTCCCCGACTTTGGGCTCGGCGCCGGCGCCCCTGTGTCCCCCCGGCCGGCCTCCTCTCCTCCTCCTCCCTCCTCCCGGGGGCGTCTTTCGGCAACCGCGCTGCCCGCTCTGTCGGCTGCTAGCTCGCACAGTTGGCTCCTCCTCTTCGGCCTGATCTGGCACGGTGGAGCCCCCCTCCCGTCATTCCTTTGGGAAGCCAGCAGGTTTCATCACCAGGGTTGTGTCACAGATATGCGAAACTCTCTCTCTCTCATTATATCTATATATAAATACACGAGGCGGCTATAAACAGAACTGCTCAAAACAAGCAAACGCACTGAAGGATTTGCGGAAACAGGCGCGAGCTGTGGCAGCGCCTCACGGGGCCGCGAGGTCCAGCCTGGACGCGCGTGAGACACCATTCCGTGGGACCTCCCAGAGCCCACGAAACTGGTGGCGGTGGCTCATTTCACAACCCCCAGGCAGGTTTTTCGCTGGCGCCACAATCTTCGCATGCATGGTAGTCCGCCAACATGTGGATCACTTCAAGCATACAACTTTTCCATTGATAACTGTCGCGGTGGGAAAAAACCCAAAAACAACACCCCCCAGGGAAGACAATGTATCGTTCCAATGCGCATGAAGTCGTTCCCCTGGACTTCTGCCCACGAAAGCGGTGGCAGTGGCGCAGTTCGCCCCCCCCCCCCCCCCCCCCCCCCCCCCTCCCCCCCCCCACCCCCCCCGCCCCCCCCCCCCCCCCCCCTCCCCCCCCCCCCCCCCCCCCCCCTCCCCCCCCCCCCCCTGGACGCTAGGTCTAAGCGGCAGGGCGTTTTTCTCATCGAGCGTAATACAGCCTTTAACCCTAAGAACACACGAACCTGGCGACACACGCGGAGTTCGCAGCCCCAAGAGCAGGCGAGGTGTAATCCTGATGTGCGCGAGGTCTCGCTTCGTTTTCGTATGTCGCCACTCCTTTGGACCTCCCAAAAGTCCACGACAGCGGCGGGAGTTGCGTAGCTCGCAGTCCTGAGGGAGGGCGAGGCCTCATTCTCATTGGCGGATGACACCACTCCTCTGGACCTCCCAGGACCTAACGAAGACGGCGACAGTTGCGCAGTTCGGAATCCCGAGGGAATGCGAGGACTCGTTCTGCGTATAACGTCAACCTGCTGGACCGCGTAGAAGCCTACGACAGCGCCGACAGTACTGCAGTTCGCATCTCCGAGGGAGGGCGAGGTTTTGTTCCGATTTGCGTTAAACGCCACTCCGCTGGACCTCCCAGGAACCCACGAACGCGGCCACAGCGGCGCAGTTCGCAGCCTCGAGGGGGGACGAGGTCACTTCCGCTGGACCTCCTAGGAACCCACGAACGCGGCTTCAGTTGCGCAGTTTGGAACCCTGATCCAGGGCGATGTCGCATGCAGATCTGCATAATAACGATACCATTCCTTTCTCCCAGGAGTCCACGAAAGCGGGGAGAGTTGCGGGGTTCGCAGCCCCGAAGGGGGGCAAGATCTCGTTCTGGCCTGCGTAAAACACTATTCCTTTAGACATCCCAGGAGCCCGCGACAGCGGCGACCCCTGCGCAGTTCACAGCCCCGAGGGAGGGCGAGGTCTTTTTCTGATTTGCGTCTGGCACGCTTCCGCTGGACCTCCCAGGAGCCAACGACAGCGGCGAGAGTTGCGCAACTCGGAGCCCGTGGGGAAGGCGAGGTCTCATTCTGATCTGCGTATGAGGCCACGCCGCTGGACCTCCCAAGAGCCCACGAAACGACCGATAATTGCGCAATTCGCAGCCCCGAGGGACGGTGAGGTCTCTTTCTGAGTTGCGTCTGACACCACCCAGCTAAACCTCCCAGGGGTCCACGAACCGGTCGACAGTTACGCAATTCGAAATCCCGAGAGAAGGCGACGTCTCGTTTAGATCTGCGTGAGACACCAACTCGGTGTACCTCCCAGGAACCCAAGGAAACGGCAAGAGTTGCGCAGTTCGCAGCCCCGAGGGAGGGCGAGGTCTGGTTCTGGTTTGCGTTTGGCACTACTCCGCTGGACCTCCCAGCAATCCACGAGACCA